TGGGCGCCCTTTTCCCAGTGGCCCGTGGATGAACGTGCGTAGAACAGCCTGGAGAGAGGTGAGCAGGCCTGAGCTGTCCCACTCCGACCCTCCACAACCGACTGGGTGGAGAGAAGGCTTTTTCCTTCCAGTGGAGCTAGCGTATAACCGCGGCCTCAGATGCCGGTTCCCAGGCACCGGCTGGAGGGCCCACCATGTGGGGAGCAGGAACCAGGCGTGTGTGGAAGACCAGAGGGAAGACGTGGGGATCCCAGCAAGGGCTGGTGCGCAGCACCACCCTTTGTGGGCAAGGATCATTCTTCCAGTTCTTGCTCTGGACTGCGGGTGACAAGACTGTCACAGGAAGGTGTGTGGTGCCCTGCCTGTCCAGGGCAACAGGGGTTAAAGGATGGGGCCCTACCCTACTGGCTGGTCACAGGGTCACAGTCACAGAGGTAGTTTATGTGGAGGTCAGGCCCTAACCCTGGTCCCTCCAGGCCAGTCTCAGTATGTGCAAGCTGTAGGGTACTAGCCTAGAGAGGGACTCTTCCCCCTAATATGGGAGAAACATGGCCTGTGGCCCTCACGCACCCCTAACCTGCTTGGCAAGGCTTGCTGAGCCTCAGAATCTCTGCCTCTGAAGTGAGAAGTTCTGGTGAAGAGGTTGCCCAGAGTTCTCCCTCCAGTCTGTGTATGGTGGAACCGGGGGTCTGAGCACCTGATGGAAGTGGATACTTGGGCGGGGGATAGAAAACCGCCTCACCTGCCACCCCATCAGCTCTGCTTTGCCATCTCCCTCACCTGGGCCTTGGCGGCTGCCCTCGCCTTTGGGTCCCCAACACTGGAAGGGAATCCTGAGGGACATCCTTAGTGGAGAGCCCCCTTAGCCAGGTGAGCCTGGACTCTGGAGAGGAAGCTTCAGAGGGTGGCCTTGGGCTGTGAACTGTGGGTTCTAGGGCTCAGAGGGTCAGGGGGCCTGGGGGAGAGAGGACCCCTCACCTGACCAGACTCAGCCTGGCTGGGGTACTGATCTCCTCCAGTTCCCCAGCTGGTTCCGGCTTCACGCCTTCATCTCCTTCCCAACCCGACATTCGTAAGTGCTCTTCCTCTTACAGCTTAGATGACACTTCCAGACTGTGCCGGGCACCTGTCCTGGGGCCCACAGACCCTGTGCCACCCTACCTCCCCATAGTTCCCTCCAGATGCTCCCCTCCTCACAGGCTGGGGCTCCAGGAGCACCTAGTGACTGAGTGGGCAGCACGACCTTAGGCAACCACACCCAGTGCCAGGAGGACACCGCCTGAGGTAACATGAAAGGCACTGCCTTCCTGAATCATAATCGGCCCGGAAATGAATAAACACACAGCAAAACCGTGGCACAGATCCTGCCTTCCACAGTCAACACGTCTAAAGATGGCCATGCAGGGCAAAACTGAAACAAAACACACTCTACCGGGCATCCAACTATGGGTTCCGGTGACCTCTATCCTGCCCCCAGATGGTTGAGAGATTCAGGGGGTTGGGAGGAGGCTTCGCAAGCCCCCTTAGATCACTCTTGGCACTGGTTTTTGGAGGGGTGCAGTCACCATCAGTTGGTTCTCTGCTGCCATCCTGTGGCCACAGTGATGGCTGCCCCCAGGTGGGTGCCCCTTCTCAGGCAGCCTTAGTCCTCAATAACAGGACTCCTTACGGGGCATGCAGCAGGGGGCCCCACTCAGGAGCGAGAGGGGAGCACTCATCAGACTGAGTATGGGGGCGAGGTGGGCAAAGAGAACCCTTCACGTACGGCAGGACTTCAGCAGAACTCAAACAGCTCCAGCCCAGGGTCCTAATCTGATTGCATGCAGCCCGATGCTGGGAGAAAGGAGGGAGGAGCACATTTGTCCCTGTATATGGGGAAGCATATGCAGGGGCTGGGGAGAACAGAGATCTGGCTTCTGTGTGTGTGGGTAAAAGTGGATAAGAAGGGGCTAGTAGGTGGTGTGGTGGTTAAGGCACTGGACTCCCACATGGCCGACTGCAGTTTGAGTCCTGGACCCTGTGGCTTCAGGATCATGTTGGGCATGTGTGCGTTTGTGCACATGTGCATGCTCAAAACCCCAATAGGATAACTGGAGGAAAAGGGACTGCAGGGTGGCCATCCCCTGAGGGGGTTATCTCTCACTTTCCCTTGCCCTGTCTCTCTCTGGCGAGCTCACATGGCCTTTGGCAAGAACCTTTAAAAAAAAAAAAAAGCAGATAACTGAAGAAACCAGTGACAGGGCTCAACATGTGTCTTCCCCAAAGCACTTTAATGCACGCACCAACCCACAGTCCCTGCCTGCTGGCTGGGCAAGAGAGGCCAGCCCCACCTGGAAGTTCCCATGGCTTCCGGCACCCAGGGCCTATGAGGATAGGGCCCGTATACATTCCCATCAATAGGTGAGGGGCGTGAGGATGAAGAGGCGGTCTTCCTCTTTGCGGATCCATCGCATCAGCTTATGGATGGCACTGACGGCTGACGCCTTGGTCCCCAGAGGACTGTAGCACATGTAGAGCTCAAAGGCACCTGTCACCTGGAGGAGGTGGCAAAGGGTGGTCAACTAGGTTAGACGCTCCTCCTGGTCCCTACCTGGGACCTCCCCGAAGCCAGGCCCATGCCAGGGCCACCTTACCCAGGCCAGGAGGTTCTCGTTGGGGCCCGTGTAGTAGATGGTCTTGAGTGGGCGGGAGGCATTGTGAGCGCGGCTGTGCAGATACTGGTAGAGGCCCAGCAGCCGCTCCTGCTCCTCCTCACTGGTGTACGGGGCCTCGATCTCCGGGCTGTGGACGGGAGTGGGTTGGCAGAGGGATGACTTCCCTCCCATTCTCTGGAGATCTAGAAATACCTATTCCTGGCCACGGAGATTCCACCATGTGTCCTACCCTCCAGAGGCCCCCCCTAGACCCGCTCCCCAAGTTCATGGTGTCTTTGGTGACCCTTCCTTGAAGAGGCCAATCTGAGTTCTGGTGTCCAAGGCAAAGTGACAGAACTGGAGTAGAGGAAAGGGGGGCTGGGAGCTCTTGGGGCTAAAAGGGGAGAAAGGGGAGACAAGCTATCCCATCTGCCCAGCCCCTGCACTGGGGGATAGAGTGGAGGAGGCTTTGTATCCTGGTTCAAAATTATCCCGAAGGCAGGCGACCAGCAGGTGGCATGGTGATTAAGGCACTGGACACTCCCACATGGCTGACCACGGTTTGAATCCTGGACCTGGTGGCTTGCTTTCTCATTCCCCATCCCTCCCTGTGTGTGTGTGTGTGTGTGTGTGTGTGTGTGTGTGTGTGTGTGGTCAAATTAATATAAATGAATGAATGAATTTAATTTAATTTAAAAAATAATTATTTTTTCTCTTTGAGAGGTTTTGCCATAGGGTGCATGTGCTCACCAGAAAGACAGAGACAGAGAGACAGAAAGCGAGAAATCATCCCCCAGGGTGGATGACCACGCCACAATCACTTCTCCAATCTTTTGTACTCTTGGGATCTTGAGCACGCACACACACGTGCTCAGCATGAGTTTAAGCCACCGGGTCTGGGACTTGAACCGCAGTGGACTACATGGGAGTTCAGCAACATAGCCATTACGTTAACTGCTGGTCCCTAAAAAATAATTCTTAAAAATGAAATGACCCCTAAGGTGGAGTTGCCGGGCAAGGGTCCCAAGAGACCTCTGTTCCCCGTTCCTTCACTGGGTACAGTGGGCATTTCCAGGCCTACTGGGTAATGAAGGAGGAAGGTACATGCCCACAGGGTGACTGGGAGACTGGGTCCCTGGTGCCAACCTGAATCAGACCCAGCATGCTGGTCCATTCCGGGTGGGATCAGCTTCAGGGCTCAGGACCAATCCGTCTGCCCCCTCCCAGGCCCTGTTGCCCTGAAGCGGTGCCCCCAAGGCCCTCCCTCACCTGGTGAAGAGTCCCGAGCTCTTTGACTTATAGAGGAAGTGTCGCAGGTCGGGGATGCCCACTTGAGCGACACTGTAGTAGGGCGTGCTCAGCGCCTCCCGCAGTGCCAGATGGGCCCCGCGCTTGCGAAGGCGCTCCTGGAAGCGGCGGCGACAGTCAGAGACCGCAAAGAAGTCCTCGCGATCGGTGGAGACCAGCAGCAGGCAGAGGTCGGTGTCGGGCTCCAGGTAAGAGATGTGTGCGTGGAAGAAGCCAGCCGCGTTGAATTTGGGCAGGCACACAGGTGTCCAGGCCTCACCCTCCCTGAAGGAGGAGGAGGAACTGATGAGGTTGAAGAGCAGGTGCAGGTCGATGGGGTGCAGGAATTGGTCCTTGCGGCGCACCAGCGCCACCAGCTGGTTGCGGGCCAGTAGGATGGAGAAGACCAGGCTGCGCGCTCGCGCCTGCTGCAGGCTAGCGCTCACTGCCTCGCGCACCGTCGGAGCCAGAGGCAGGCACCGCGCCGCCCCCATCAGGAAGCTGGGGTCTCGCGCCATGAGCTGCAGCAGGTTGTCGGTGATGCGCTCGGAGCCCGACAGCAGGCGCCGCAGGTCGTAGTTCTGCTTCTGCTGGAAGATGTGGCTCAGCTGCGCGCCGGTGAGAAGGCTCAGGATCTGGTAGTAGATGTAGAGCAGCTCCTGCGCCAGCTCCTGGGCCGACTGCCGCGTGCGGGCCACCGCCACCAGCACCAGTGGGCTCCGGCGCACGAATACCACCTTGTAGCCATCTGAGGGCGGGCGGGAGGCAGGGGCAGGGGCATCAGCCTCAGCCCTCGGAGCCCCGCCTTTCTGAGCAGCCCTTCACTTCCCACATCCTTGCCTGGCTCAGAGCTCTGCAAGCAGGAGGGCCTTAAGGATGGTGACGAACAAACCAGTAGCTCATCGTGTCCCTGCCACTGCTTCATAGGCTGGGGCGCTCCTAGGGCTTGTGAGGG